GAGGGGGGGCACCGGCTCACCTGCTGCAGCCAGGGCACGATGCAGCCGTCGTGAAAGAGGTGACTGCAGGGCAGCTGCCGCACGCGCTCCCCCAGTCCGTAGTCATCCTTGCACACGGGGCACTCCAGCCCGGAGCCTGCGGGACGGGCGCCTGTGACCGCCGAGACCCGCGGGGGAGCCTGCCCGCCACCCCCCGCCAGGGCACGCAGGGGCCGAGGCCCCACCCGGCGTCCTGGGGGACGGGACACGGACAGTGTCGGGACAGGGGCCGAGAGACACACACCTACGTGTTCCTCCGTGACGGGGACGGTGGGGAGGGCCTGGATTTTCTCTTTGTCTGCAGGCGGGGGGCCTGTGTTTTCAAACTGATTGAGGAGCTGAAAGACAAGAGGCCAGAGTGCCGGGAACTCGGTAGGCAGGTGCGGCCCCTCGCCCCGAAGGGCTCTGAAATGCAAGGCTGGGTTACCTGCAAAAGCACCAAGGCTGTGTTTTTCCTGGTCCCCGGACACCCCCCACGAGGCTGAGCCCCACGCTCCTACCCACCCGTCCGCATGTCCAGTCAGGGTCACCTTGCACCCAGGGCAGCTGCAGCCCTGGGGACAGCGCGACCTCTCCCAGCGCAGAGGGTCCCACCCAGGGGCTGGTCCCTGAGGCCTCCTGTCAGCTAGAGCCAGAGGGCTGGGTCCTGCTGTGGGGAAGCGCACCACAGTTCACCAGCAAAAGGCCTCACAAGGGCCGCCAAGTTCACGGTGACCACCCCGTCCCCGGGGCAGCTCAGGAGAATGTGGAGGTCCATGTGGGGCACCCCAGCCTCAGGATGGGAGTTATGGAGAGCTGGGGAACAGGGCATCCACACCAGGGACTCTCTCGGCCTCTGGGAGCAGGGCCCATCAAGCTCCTCATCCTCAGCAGGAAAGATAGCAACCCCCGTGCCCTCCTCGGGGAGGTGACCCTGTACCTGCGTGATGATGGCATCCAGGCCGTTGGCCCCCCAGGCGTAGTCCATCGGGTTTGAGTGCAGGACACCCCTGCGCAGAGAGGTCTGGGGTTCAAGTGGCGGAGGGGCCGGGCAGGGCGCAAGGGGACCCGCCCACCTACTCACCAGGGGCCCAGGCCCAGGCTGGGGATGCTGGCAGGAGTGATGATACCATTGACCAGCTGCTGGATGATCCTGGAACAGAGTGGGAGGCCCAGCCTGTGGTCAGCACCCTCCGAGGCTGGGCACCCCAGAGGAGGAAGCAGAGGAGACACGTGTCCAGCTTCGAAATTCACAGCGTTTAAAGGCTGTGTTTTCAACCAAGAAGATTTGCGAAGACTCAGACACGAGACAGACCCTCACTGATCCCGGAGGCCTGGACAGTGCCTGTGAGCGTGAACCACATCACATCGCTCCCTGTCTTACAACCTGGGGGCGCATCCCGGAGGTCCCCAGCCCCGCCATTCGCAGCGGCCCAGAAACGTGCTGGCTGAGGTCGCGGTGAAGCCAGGGCCCGAGCCTGGGGCAGCCGCTGCAGGGCAGCTCACAGACGGGGGACACCAGGGGCATCAGGGCAGCCCAGACTGTGTCCTTGGCTGGAATCGAACAGGACAGAGCACGTCGGGGCTCCCTGTGCATCTAAACCCATCTTAAGAGACACAGGGGCTGCTCTGTGTAGGGCCAAGTTCCAGCTATGAAAACGCTGGAGAAGCCTGACCCTGTATCCTCTGGGGGCGGGCCCTCCGAGGAACGTTTCCTTTTTACCCCCAGTCCTTCTGAACAAGCCTCAGCTTTCAAGGAAGCCGTCCTGGTGCCAACCCCAGCATGGAGGGAGCCTGGGGCTCTGCTGAGGAGCACGGATGCCAGAAACCCACCCCATTTGCCTGCCGCCCTGGGAGACAAGGACCCAAATGGGAACCAGCCGTGTCTGAGCTGATGGGCATGTGGGCAGGGGTTGCAGGGGAGAGGCAGAGACCCCTCCCAGAAGGACGGGGGCAACTAAGTGCACAAGAGGCCCCCTGGCCCTGTCCAGGTCCCGCCGCATCCTCAGGCCCTCAGGCCACACTTTAGGGTCCCCCTCTGCACCCCATCAGCATGGTGGGCTCAGGCAAAATCTGCCTGGATGCACTGGGGAACTGCCCTGCCCAGAGGTCAGCCCCAGAACTAGCATCCACGCCCTCTGTGCCCACAGAACCTTCTAGAAGGGCAGATGGTCAGTCTGCCTGAGTCGGGATGGGACAGGTTGTAAGACTCCCACGAGCGTCCCAGCCGCCGGCTACCCCCAGGTGCCTCACCCTTCCAGCGTGGGGACGCCTTCGTGCCGGCCGGTGGCCCGCCGTGCAGTGAGGCGGGCGCGGGGCTGCCGGGCACCATATCGGTGCCGGGAGTGTTGCTCTCTCTCCCGCCGGCTCTCGGGGTCCCTGCCCTCATCGGTCTGCACCCCAGGGGGGAACGTGGGGATCTCGAAGCTGTCGTCAAAGATGCCGAAAGCAAACTGGCCGTAGCCCTGCGGCAGCGTGAACAGGTGCTGGTCCACGGTCTGTGGGGAGGAGGGCCGTGATCACGGGCAGGGGCAGGAGCCCTGAGCTGCCACCTGGGTCCTGCCCAGCCCAGCCCCTTGCCTGGACCCCACGTTTCCTCCATGCGCCGAGGGGTGCTGTCCTGGGGTCAGGGCTCTGAGGGATGGGGGCACACCAGGGGGACCTTGCCATGTGTGGGATAATGGAGGAAGGAGCGGCCCAGCAGTCAAGGGTCAGGCGGGAGGAACAGTCCTGTGAGGCGAGGGGAGGGGTGGGTAGCTGCCTGCAGGAAAGGGCGCAATCTGGGGCCAGACTCACCTCGAATGGTGGCCTGCTCTGGTCCGTGGGGGCTGTGGAGGGGGCGGACCCATTCTCTGTACTCCTGGGAGGACGGGCACAAGTCAGCAGTGGGGGTGTCCCACCGGGACCCAGGGCCACCGTCCCCCTCTGAAGCCCTGCCCGTGCCCTGGGTCAGGAAGGGGGGGGTCATCTCCCCTACCCCCCCCCCAACCCACCGTGGCCCATCCAGGCTCTGTCTGCCCCCAGAACTGAACCAGCATTCGGTGAAGCACCCCGCGTCCTGGCCACAGCCCCGTCCGCACCCCGAGGGGCCTGGTCCGGCCAGCGTGCACCTGGGCCGTGTTACCTGGTCTCTTCTGGAAGCTCCTCAATAAAACCAGACTCGCATCTGGGGCAGATGTAATCCTGCAGAGGAGAGGGCAGGTGAGTGCGATCTTGGGGTCCCTGCCCCCGGGCTGAGCTAGCTGGACACCCCCACAGGACGAGCTCCAGGCACACCTGTGAAACTGCTCGAGCCCAGAGTCGGAGCTGGCAGAGGCCCCGCTGGGTGGGCCTGGGTGGGGCCTGTGTACGGACACCCATCAGCCGTGGCATGACTGGAGCCCCCTGGACCTGCTGCCCTGCTGCAGGTGGGGCCCACGCTCCCGGGTCATCTCCCCACCGTCCCACAGTCCCACAGTCCATCAGCCTATGTTCCTCGGGACGACAGAAGTCGTTTCAAGGTCTCCACTCAGCCACATCAGCTGCTGAAGGCTCTGACAAGGCCTGTACCAAACAGGCCAGCTGATGCGGGTCCACCGAGCAGTTCCTGACTTGCACAGATGGACGACATTCTGTGAGTGCCCCCCACGTGCACAAAGAGGCACCTGCCCCAAGCTCCGGGGCGGTCGCATGGGTGACCATGGAGCCCCAGGACTATGGAGGCCTCAGTAGCTCAAGTCCCAGGAGGGGGCCACGGAGGGTGGGAAGCACCACCCGGGCACAGGGACCAGCCTGTGGGTGTCCCGTGGTGGCATTTCTGGGACGTTCCAGCAGCCCTGGCACAGGGCCTGTGACCCCATCCCCATTGGCCACGCCCCCTCCCCCCGGCCCACCAGTGCTGTCCCAACTCGACAGTGGGGACCGGCCCCAGGGGAGCCACAGGCACAAGCCCCCAGCCGTGGGTCCCAGAGCCCCACCACCAGCCACCAGCGCAGGGTCTGCCCCCGCCTGCTGAGTGGGAGAGAAGGTGGGGGGACGGCTGCGGATAGTCCCAGGGGAGCCACGGTGGGCGGGCCACGTCCCCTCACCTTCCTGCACGCCGAAAGCAAAGGGGGCCCCAAAGGACACTGTCTGAGCCAAGTGGGGAGCACAGGAAGGAGGTGCACAGGTCGTAGGACCTGATATCCAGGACGTATAAACGCATCTAACAGTTCAGCGACAAAAACACAAATAACCCAGTGAAAAAACGGCCAAAGAACCAAGACAGTTCTCGAAAGACACACGGATGGCAGTGAGCCGGAGAACGACGCCCAGCACCGTCGGGCAGCGGGCAAGTGCAAACCAGAGCCTGGAGACACCAGGACGGCCCGACTCCAACACCAATGACAAGTGCCGGCGAGGACGTGGAGACCTCAGAACCATCCGCCACGCCGGCGGGGACAGTCACGCAGTTCCTCGAAAAGTTGCACACGGAGTCACCGGACGACCCTGCAATTCCACGGCTGGGTACACGGCCGAGACACGAAAACGCACGTCACACCAAACCCGCAAGTGCACGTCCACAGCGGCCCCACTCACGGCAGCTAAAAGGTGGCGACAACCCCAGGGTCCATGCGCAGGTGGATGTGGCCCACCCACACACCGGAGCGTCCCTCGGCCGCGGACAGGAGCCAGGCGCCCTCACGCGCGGCCCCGGGGA